GAGGGTGGGGTGGGTGATGGATTCACCAGAGCCAGAGTGGGGAGAACAGGCGGAGCTACAGAAATACACTGCTGAGAGCAGCAGCAGGTGAGAAAGAAGAGGTCCACTGGTGATAGCTTTAGGCCCTGTACCACCAGGAAGGCCCTCACGCATCACCAATTTTTGTATTGAAAAGAGGCCACTTCAATCAGTTACATTAAAAAGGCTAAGTTTTACCACTGATTGAATATGTAAAGAGATATTTTCCCAAATTTTTATTTTATTTTTGCGCAGGGCTGAGGCACAGGACAGAAGTATGTTGGGGTGAGGATTCATCAGACACAAGAGTAGGGAGCCGAACAGATAGACCTAATGAATTACACTGCTGAAGAGCAGCTAGTGAGGCTGAGGAGGTCTGCAAACCATGTGGGCCAGCTCCCTTAGCCAGGGGTCAAACGCAAGGCTGCAGTGGTGATAGTGCTGAGACTGAATGAACCTTTACACCACCAGAGAGACTTATTTTTATTTATTTCTTATGCCTTTTCACTCTGCACACACTACACTTCCCTCCCCGCCCTTCAACAGACCCTGGAGCTTCAACACAAAGGCACATTTCAGTAGGAGGGTCCAGGTAGTTACACCCTTTATCTAGGCACCAGAAGTTTGCCTCCCAGTAGTAACATAAAGGGCACCGGCATCCATGTCCTCGCATCTATGGCCTTTGAAGATGCTTCTTCGCCCACTACCTTCTAATTGTTTCTAATATTTAGTATCAGCTCATTCCAATTCACTTTGCTCTCTCCCTACTTCTTTAGCACAAACTGTTTTTGTCAACCATCAACTCCTTTTATTACACTTCTTAAATATTTGTTAGCCCATACCCTAATGCCCTAATGTGCTTTCTAGGACAAGTAAAATACTTCTACAGTTTCCTTCCCATGCATATAGTGCATGTCCTTCCAAAGATAACCCAAGATCTGCGTCTACTTCCTTGATAAATACTCCCTCATACTGACTAGGAACTTTGCTCCGGCGAGTGCAGATCCAAGCACTGTATTTTGTCTCTCTATTGCACCTAAGATGCAGGAAAGACCTCTGCTGCCTATGCAATTACTAAGGTTATGAAACTTCCTGAAAATGTACTTCACCACAGTGAATATTATCTACATCTGATTTATATTATTAAAAAGGATCAGCAAGGGAAGTATTAAAAGGACTGTCTAATGAAATCCAAATTAGATTAACTAAAGAGGAAACAAAGTTATACGGTCAGTCAAAACATTAGAAAACTCTTGTGTCTTTTAATAGGGGCAAGAACTGTATAGGTAGGAATGGTACTCGTTAATCTCTTAATCTGGCACTTGAGGAATTGCTGGGTCAATTAATGATCACAATTATTTAGGGACTGGTTAAAGTAGCTAGCCTAACAATGTTCCGCTCTGGTGGAACAGAGCGGTCAAATCCAGATTTAACTCTTCAGATTGGCCAATGGTAGGATACTCCACTTGGGGATCAAAGTTTTTCCAGTGAATTGTCCTAAAGTGTCACTGAAGTCTGTTTAGGAAAAAAATCTCCATAGGAGCATTCAGCAGGTAGTCAACATCCAATCTTCAAGTACTAAGCATTCTTTTCCCAAGTATGCATCAGTCCTTGGTTTTTATCTTGGAGTTGAGGTGTCGTCTCCTGATTACCAAAAAGTCCAAAAACCAATCTTTACTGCAACAAGGGGTGACTTCCTTTGTTCCTAAAAAAGAGGGGGGAGGGGAAAATAGTTAAAATAGGATTGGTAGATTAGTGGAACAATTCAGGAATTAACAGTTGTATTTAAGATTTTTTTCAAATCTACAAAGGAAAAGAATTTCACTTATATAAGTAACCAGGAGCTTCTATCCCTGTATCTGAAAACTATTTACTATTTGTGAATTTACTTCAGATGACCCTGATACTTTAGCAGAATCAAAGTTTTCCACAAGGGGATATCTACGTAATAGTAAGGCATGGGCTTTATATTCATTATACAATGCCATTTATGTTACTTTTCCTAACACACAATTGTATGGTTTTTTAGCTATGCACAGACTTTAGCTTAGAGAATTTAAGATGTTTTTTACTTAAAAGTAAAGAGAAAAACAAACCACAAACTGACAATTCGCCACAGAAACTAAAGTATATTAAGTTGGGAAAGACAAAGGGAACAGATTTTTATCATTACAAATAAGATAAATGGCAAGTACAGTAGATATACTTCACCCCAAAACTGCATTAAAAAGAAAAAAGACTGATAATCTGATTTTTTGGGTCTTTTTTTTTTTTTAAGTACAGAAGTCATTCAGCTACAGATTTGAGTTTGCTGAACTTTAAAATACCTGTTACAATGGATTCCTTCCCCATATGGTAGATGGTCTGCATTATACACCAGACACACAGCAACTCTGTACTCGTCTGCATCTTGATTGTCGTATTATCCAGACAGTCTGCCAGCTTAAGAGTTTCACAGGTCCAGCATGCTCTGAGACCAAATAAACTCTTGCCTCCTCATCTTCACTTCTTTTTAGGCTATTCTTTCATCTCCAATTTTATTGTCCAGTAAAAAAAGCTGACAAAAATTTCAGCAACCAGATGCAAGTCCTTTGCTTCTTTGAATTGAGTGTATTCAGAGCAGATCAGTTTCTCCAGATATTTCAAAGTCTTCCCCTGTGATTTGGGTTACGTTGCTGAGTGACCAGCCACGTTCCTAGCAGCAATTGGTGAAGTCAAAAAAAGTTAAGCTAGACATAAATGGTAGGTGAAAGCCCAGTAAATACTGGAAGGCAGTTCAGGAAAAACCATGACATGGTAGGATAATGTGATGGAAAAGTATTTCTAATCTCTTCAATGGCAACAATTTGATATCCATGTAGTATTATCATGGTAAAAATATGCTGAGTATCGATGGCCGGAGTAGCGATAGATGGATGAAGGTGGTGGCAACAGTAATGAGAGAATCCGCCTTTAACTTCAATACCTTCTGAAACTCTCCCCCACACCTGTGCTCTCAACTAAGGAAATGGTAATCTTGGCCTCTAAGTATCCTAAAAGTATTTCCTTTAACTCTACTACTTTTTAAATGTCTGAAAATACCTTCTGAAAACCAACTTATAGCTGAAGAGAAGGGGGCGAAGTAGAGTTGGAAGTGTAACAGATATGACTTATTTAACATTTGGTGCCAAGCAATGAATATTAGAACAGGCCATAAGGGGAGTATCATCACTTGTTTTATAGTCTTTTTATGGGCATTGGAACAGAAAATTTGAAAAAATATCTTTTCTTTAGGAAAGTCAAGTCTATCATATATAAAAACCCATTTTGGCTGAATAAACAGACTTTAGAGTCTTTGGACATTCTTACTGAACTGCTAAAATGACTTGCTAAAGCTTTTCATAGAAGAAATGCTAGGCATAAATTTTCTGAAATGAAAAGCATATGCAATGTATTAGTGAATGCTACCACTTGAGAGATTTCTGCAATAATATTCTTAGAGATTATCTACTTGCGAATAAGGACTAATTTAAAATATGGAATCCCCTGTGTGTAAAATTCTGAAAGTGTAATTCCATTAAGATGAAAAATATATATGTATATTTATATATAATGTATTAAAAAAAAAGGAACTTATAAAACGTGACTAAAAAATTTAATGTGGTGTTTTCATCACTAATGAATTTACTGGGATCAATGAATCTCTTTGTTGTACCAGGTCTTTAAGAAAAGGCTATTGTAGTGAACCCTAGGAAATCATGATCTCAAACACCTTTTTACTTAGAGGCTGGAGTCAGAAGTCACCTAAATCAGTTGTCTTTGATCTCTATAGACTTTATAAGATCTCTTAATGTTGGTGACTCAGATGAGGGGGTTGGAGGAGAAGGTGGTGAATTACTTATTTCATCACCTTCAAACCTAAGCACTCTTTCATGGTTTTCCATATAGGGGGTTTTGTGTAAGATACTCTTTTGGGCAATAAGCATCTTTATTGTTCAAAATAATACAAATGTTTTCAAGAAGTCAAGTCAAAGATCAAAAGGAACTTTGTTGTTGTATTACACTGAGTAGCATACTTTAGTAGCAAGCAATATTTTGTTTGGAGCCAAAATAACATCACTTGGAACTGTATCTCTGCATGATGTCTTATAATTAACTCCAATTTCTCCTCAAATTTTTCTAGTGTGTAATATTCTATAGCCGACATCTAATGCTATGAAATCTTGTTGGATTTTAAGTTGCTTTATGAAAAATAGCTACAATACAAAAAATAAGGATTAAACTTAAGTTTAATTACAATTTTTTTTTTCCAAGGAAACATACTAACTCAGTGGATCCAACTTCTCATCTTTAAGACCTGGATAAGGTAGGACAAAAATTCTGCTTGTTTATTGAGTAAGAGACACATAGTAAACTAAAAATGGAAACTACCTCAAAAAAAAAAGGGTAATTCTTTCTTTCTGAAGCTGCTGAATGCCTGAAGTGAAATATTCTAGGTCAGATGAGATTTCATCTAATTTTTAGTTCTAGAAACTGTAACTTGTGATGATCCTATTATCCCAGCTTGCTTTCCAGCAAAAATTTGTTTCACTTTGTCAGAAAAAACAAATACACTATAGGCATCAGGTATAACAAGTAATCAGACTACCAGATCTTACCTAAAAGGCTATTTCTCAGTCACATTGGCTACCTATCTCATTAAAAGCTTACTGACACTATGATTTAATAATACAGTAATTAAAACACTCAAAAGGGCAATTAAGTCCCAGTTGAGATGCAGATGCAGGGCACTGGCCAAATATTCATTGAACATCCTGAGCTAAAAATTTTCCTCATCTTGGAACCCCACTACCATCAGCCTCCATCTATGAAGCCTTCCCCAACACAGATCATGAAGAGAAGCGTCTCAATTTCATTCCTAATAGATGAGCTGCTGGGATGAGGATAACATCAGTTAATTATACTTCTTGAAAAGCATTCTCAGATTAGTCTGTTTTTAAATTACAAAATTGTTTGTATACAACACTAAAAATATAGATCAAGTTCAGACTAGAGCAGTCATTCAGAAATTACATAATTAGAAACCAAAACCGATTCTTACCAGAGCCCACCACTTCCAGAAAGTAGGCAGGTAATCAATCAGGAGGTAAGCCCCAGAAAGGGGAAAAGAAAAACAAGCAAAAAATCCCATCAAACACTGGAGTCCAACTGTACGGCAACAGTGGTAAGAAACAGAGCTGTGCCCTAACAGTTCTACTCCTTAGTAGTACATGAGTGCCCGAGAAAGAAAGGAAATACAGCCTCATAGTTCAATGGCATTGACCCCACTTCATTTCAATTTGCAAGGCCTAACTGCAGACTTCAATTTCACATGGGACACCCAAGCCATGAATATTGGCAAGATATTAAAAATGAAGACAAAAATAAAAGAATCATCTTGAAATTAAGAACATCTATAGTTAAAAAGCAACTAAGAGATTTATTTGTAACTAGGAAAAAGAGTGTGTCAAGCTTCTCAGTTATCTGAGCATTCAGGAGAGTGAGATGATCTGCAACTGAGAAGACAGACACTTCGGGGCAATGCCAGACTTGCTTCCTGAAGTTAGATTATATTCACAACTGTCCATTTTAAATGCTAATGCATTACCATGCAAAAAAAAATTCTTAACACTGTTAGTCTGAAAGTCAACATACCAATGCTAACCAGATTCGTTATTAAAAATCAACAAGTGTTAGGTCTAGGATTTTGGATTGATTGATTATACCATATTCCCAACACCAAATGTGTATTTTGGAAAGGGGTTAATGAATGAGTAAAAAAGATGCAGTTGTTAAAAATGACCCAAAATCCCAAGAGAAATGATATAATATACACACATATATGTATATACAAATACATATACATATATATATGAACAAGGACATTTGGGTTTAAAGTTAGTAGTCAAATTTTCCAAGGACGTCTTTTTTTTAAAAAACAGAGCCAAATTTTTTATGCATTTTAAAAACCACCTCCTCGATCTAACACTGTTAGAAATGAATAAATTACCCAATTTTGTGTTCAATTTTTTCCCTGTAACGTCACTTGGTTCTTGGCTACTAACCTTTCATGTTACTCTTGGTTTTGTCAGTTTGCTTGCCTGTGGGGGTTTGGGCCTGCTGACCCTGCCCACTTGAAGAGGCTGCCTGCTGTGCTGCTTTCTGCTTTAACATTGTCCAATCGAATGTGTAGTCATATTGGTGGTTTAGGGTCCTGGAAAATATAAAATTGTATGTCACTCTTTCAACAACAGAGCCCACGAGCTACGTATATCTACTGAACTTTCAAACAAAGCATTTTTAAGGAGGTGGGTTATTTTCTCATAGGTGCACAGCTTTTAAAAGGTATCTTTCCCTAGGTGATTTTTTAATTTTAACTAGTCAGTTAAAATTAACTCTATTTGTTACATGTTAAGACTGGACGAAAAAGGCCTGCTCTATAGTATATAATAATTCTCTTTCTTCTCAAAACGCACCTGCCTTTACGTTTCTTCAAAGAACAGGGGAGTTGAAATGAAATGAAAGGGAGTCTAGCAACTAAAAGACTGAGTCAAGTCATCCTGTTACCCATACTAGAAGGTGCCTCCTGAAAACAAATCAATAGTAAATGTAGGATTCTGTGAGGGGCACATCTAAGCCAGTGCCTTGGGAAGATTTTTTCTGGGGATTAAGGATTTCCCCCCAATCTTACTCTTCCAACTAAGATTTGAGGCACTATACCCATCTCCCCCCTTTGTTTATGACTAATTATGGGTTGTTCCTAGAGAGCTCTAGAGTTGGGCCTGTCTCTACAGTATCTCATAGATTCCACAACTGTCTGGTATTTTGAATTGCTTTTCATTCTGGGTATGAATAGGACCCAGAAACTGAATTGTTCCAAGGTCCCCAGAAAGTCACTTATGTATCTAATGTGAATTGTTAGTTTCTTGTAGAAAAATTAGTTCCTGAGTTTCACTCAGCTGTTCTGCCACCTCAAAACAATTTCAAGCATATTTGTATGACAAATGGAAAAATGCCACACAAACTCAGTTTCTTCAAATTTTGTTCTTACTAAATCAACTTAAACATCCTACTTGTCAGAGTAGGTATGCTGGATGGATTTAACTAACTTCTCTCAATGAAATTTAGAGTCTTAAAAACTAACCTGAAAAGAATGCGGAATAGCTGCCTCAGATACATGTAATCTGGGGCTTCCTCAAAGCGCAGTCCACGACAATAGTTTAAGTACATGGCGAATTCTGCAGGAAAACCCTAAAAGTTCAAAAGTTAAAAACAAACCAAACATATTTTAACATAGGAACAGAAATCCATTAAATTACATACAAAAATGTATTTGAGGAGGGTATTTTACACTACGTTGCTGGAAGATGTAATAACTAAAGTAACTGTGAATTGCTGTCCTCATAAATTTAACAAAAGTCACCACCATCTTGCCCTTTTATATACAATACCTTTTTATACTGGGAGAGAAAATATGTATCCTTTTCTTAGAACATTATATTCTTAAATAAATTAGACATTCCAACAATTTGTTATTTTATCATCTACTAATTTGACAGCAACATTGAAATGAGAGAAAGGGTAATGTTTTCTGCTAGAATAAGACAATGATGTGTGCACTTTCTCACCCCTGAGAAATATATTCCCACCCGTAGGACAGCAGTATATATCTATGTAAACTGAAAGGTAAAACTCAGTGTGCAATCACACAAAACAACCACTGCTGTGATACAGATTCAGTCTAGTGCTTTTTCCTAGAGATATTTTTCCCCTTTGTAACTATTATCACATTAGAAATGTAATGCATTCTGTTTTTGTCCATAAACAGTATATTACAAGCATCATCAGTATTATTTCCAACCTCTTCATATATCATAATTAACTTGGACAATTAGGGAATTCCAATTTACCTCCAGTAAAAACATTACTACTACATATGCACCTGTGGGCTACATTTCTTTTTTCATGTTCAGAAGATTTTCAAAAAGGTACATCAACATTTTTAAAGTTACAGCTCAGTTGCCAAAAAAGATTTTACTTCCAGCACTACAGAACTGGGTAGGATAACAAATAACAAATGAATCTTTTCATTAATCTAAAATGTTTTTCAGTGTATGTATAACTAACACACAACATTACTTCACTCTCAGGTGTATAACATAATGACATTTGTATACACTGAAACAATGACCACAATAAGTCTATTTATCATCTTTTTTAAACAAAGTCCAAATTTGTAAAACCCTGTGACTGACTGTAGTCCACATGCTGTATAACCCCCTTTGACTTATTTAGTTTATAACTGGAAGTGTGTACATCTTGATCCCTTTCAACCAATGCCCAACTCTCCGCTCATCTGGTAGCTGCCAATCTGTATTTTGTTTCTATAAATTTAAGTAAAAAACATCCCAAAGACTTGGTAATGATCATAATTTATACCCCATTCCTCTTTAGATTGGTAGCGAAGAGGAAAGCAGATCTGTGAATAGGAAACACATAAAACATCTTTACACCTTTTCTCCTACAAAATGTACAACTGCAATTCATCCAATGACACAAGCTATGCAAACTCTATTGACTGACATATTCCAGATAGAAACGGAAGTGCTCTGAAAAATCAGACTTTCCACGCTAACTAATGTTATGACCTCCCTTTTTTTGTTAATCATAATATCAAAATATTCTGAACAACCTTCAGTTTACAACTGGAGTGCCTTAGCCTCATAAGGCACTGCCTGGCCCAGGCAGACAAGCACTGCACCAGAGCGAGAAATTCCTCTTAAAGTCAAAAGTGATCTTACAATTGGCTGACTGATAAAAGCAACTGGCCGTTATTGCAAAGTCAATATCGAGGCAACACTGGAACAAACTCTTCTACTGCCCAGAAGAGAGGAAAACCCAAATCTCATCACTCTACTATCTCACACAGCCTTCTATTCAGTTCCAAATAACCACTCAAACTTTCCCCTTTCTTGTCTTTAGATAGGGAAATTCACCCAAGTAGCCTATTCAGAGCTAATCAGGTTTTCTACTGTCTAGACTTCAAGGAAACTCACTTAAACTTTCTAACAAGTTTTCAAAGAACTTTACTATAATTTAATTTACAAGAAATTTCCTCTTCCTGCCCTCACTGTACTTTACCCCCTAGGATGTCTCAATGAGAATAAAAGCTGTTAGATAGTAGATAAGGTTTAAGGGAATTTATTTTGGTTAATCTTCACTGTGGTAAATATAGTAATATTAGTCTTAAACTTTGTGAATCTATGTACCTGATTTAGCCTTGATAGATTGATTTAAAAAATGTTATAATCTCAATTAAAGGTCAAAACGACCCCAGACTATTCTTAGAAAAAGGTGATCATGATCTCAGCCCATTTCATATGCTAATATCATCCCACTGCTTGCTTAAATGTGTAAAATAAACCTCTGCTGAAGGCAGAGCAGGAACACTTGCACCCAACTCCAATTCCCATGTCTTCCTCGCGCCCACTCCCCTTCCCCCCCTTTTCTAGGAATCTCAGCTAGCAGAAGCTGCTCCCACCTTGAGACCCTGCCTGTTCCGCCCCCCCAATAATCCGTGATCGGGGACAAAGAGTCTCCGACAATCCAAAATTGCTTTGTTTTGTCACCCAACTATTTAATTGTATGCTGTTTCCTAATTAGCTCAGGAACCCCAGTGTTGCAAAATTTCTATGGAAAAGACACAAAAAGCTTTCCATTCAAGAAACTTACTGGTCTAGTTCTGAAGTTTACCTACATTTCACTACTCTTGGTCACTTTCCTATTGTAGATTGTTGTGATCTTCCTGCCTTTTTTTTCTCTCTTCCTTAACGTAATAATTACTGGTGTTCTTCCTTTTCTGACACCAGTTTATGGTTCAGAATAAAATTTCTTAATTTTCCTTATAATCGATAAGGGTATGTTTAGAGCAATTTGCCTATTCTCTTATATTGCCTTCAAATTTTAAGACTGCAGAGCCCAAATAGAAGCCGTTAGACAAAACACTCATTTAAATCAACTCATACCATCGCACCCCAGTGAGAATGGCACATATTAAAACAACTAGCAACAAATGTTGGGGAGGATGTGGACAAAAGGAACTCTCCTACACTGCTGGTCGGAATGCAAACTAGTGCAACCACTATGGAAAGTTGTTTGAAGGTTTCTTAAACTGGTAAAAACGGAGATTCCATATGACCCAGCAATCTCACTCCTAGGTATCTACCCAAAGGACATAAAAACACTGATTCAAAAGGACACCTGCATCCCCATGTTTATTGCTGCACCATTTACAATAGGGAAGATGCAGAGTCAACCCAAATGCCCAAAACTAAGATGACTGAGTTAAAAAGACATGGTACATATACACAATGGAATATTACTAAGCAATCAAAAAGGAAAACTCATGCCTTCTGCAGCAAATGGATGGAGCTGGAAGGGATCATGCTTACTGAAATGAGCCAGAAAGAAAAAGAGAAATACTGGATGGTTTCACTGACAGGGGTATAAGGGATGGGGGGGAGGGAGGCTGGGGTTGGGGGTGAGAGGGAAAAGCAAATGTAATCAAGTAAAAAACAAAAACAATGAACAACTATAAACCAGAGACATGTTATGAGGTGGAACAAGGAATGGGATAAAAACTGGGGTGGGGGCATGGACCTATGGCACATGGGTAAATTGGTGTTCCATAGGAAGCCTACAGGGACTACAAATGAGAAGGAAAAATGAAGAATGATGTAAAAAATAAATCAAAAAAAAAAAATCTACTTTTAAGTTCAAGCCAAATCTATGGATATTTAGAATCAACAACAAAAAATTTAAGATGGTAAACAGCTAGTTATACCTGTAGGATATTTAAGTTGGCTAGTAAAATGTTTGTGTTCCCGATTTATGTATTTCTAAAAAAATACTCATCACTTACCTTACATAAAACTTCAACAGGAGTGGACATCTTCTTTTCACTAATCTTTTCATATTTTTGTTTTTTTGTGGCAGCCTATGGGAAGTAAGAAATAACACAGACATACTCAGTACTAACAAGAACCTGATTAACTCAGGGCATGAATTAAAATTGCGATTCAAGAGAAATCTTAACTGACAATGAAAAATAAATCAATGTCTTTAACTGAACTGCTAACTCTTTTTGAGTTCCTATTTCAAAGCCATTTTAATTTATTAGTAAAAGGTGAGGAACACAAAGATGCATGATTCAAGTTAAAATCGGTCAAATTTAAAGCATATTTTCTTGACACATTTAATACAAGGGCAAATGTGTAAATACCAAAAATGTGTCATCATAGAGATTAATAATGAGATTAATAAATGGCCTAAGTCAAAACCAGTTTTCAAAGTAAAAAATATTTAGAGACAATAAAGCTACCCACACAAGGGGCCTCCCTGATAGCACAGGGGTTAAAGACAGTACTACCAAGCTATTGCCAGCTATTGCGAGCCATTGCAGCATGAGATTTATCCCGTGCCAGGGAGCTGATCCCCATGGCACAGCAGACCTCTCCTGTCTCAACCACTACTCCCCTCAGCAGTATATTTCAGTACATCTGCCTGTTCTGCTCCCCACTCTGTCTCTGGTGAATCCTCTCACCCACCTCCATCACTGGCCTATGCCCTAGTTGTTTTATGTATAAGTAAATCTTAAAAATAGAAGTCACCCCTAAAGCCTGAGTTGGATCCCTGGCCAGGGATGTGATCTACAAGGTGCAGCAGACCTCTCCTGTCTTGCCTGCTGCTCCCCTCAGCAGTGTTATTTTAGTAGATCCTTCTGTTCTGTCCTCCACTCTGTCTCTGGTGAACTGTCTTGCCCCTGTAGCTCTGGCCTGTATGCCAGTTCTTCTATTATTTAAAAAAAAAAAAAAGCTCTACCCACACACGAATTTAGGAATCAGTTTAGTATTAATAGCTACAGGGGCTGTTTTCCTTTAGAGACTAATAAGTATCAAATAGTTACTAAAATTGAGGACATAGTTATTTATCATAAAATTGACAAACATAAAATTAACAGTGAACTACTAGTTAACAGAAACAAAATGTTAGGATCACTTTTTGGGGGGGGGCGGGGAAGACAATAAAAGTACTATTCTAGGGGCCCTACCTGGTGGCTCAATGGGTTAAAGTGCAGCACTATAAAGCTAGTGACGGCCACTTCAGCACAAGTTCAATCCCCAGCCAGGGAGCTGACCCACATGGCGTGGCAGACCTCTCCTGACCCACCCGCTGCTCCCCTCAGTACTGTTCTTCATCAATCTGCCTGTTCTGTTCCCACTCTGTCTCTGGTGAAACCTCTCACTGCCCCCCACCCCCACCCAGCACCTCTAGCCTGTACTCTCCAGTTCTGTATCTATAAATAAAAAAATCTTAAAAAAAAAAAAAAAACACAAATAACTATTCTAAACAAACTGGCAACTCAGCAAAATTGACAGTTTCTACCTTTTGTATTCTGTAGTTCATGTCAACTACCACTCAGATAAAGCAGCAAGTAAAGAAAACGGTCCCTCAGTTTGACTGTGTGCTTATATTAAATTTTTACTGTGATGATTTGATTTTCACAATAAATGGCAAAAATACAGCTAACTTATTTTCAGGAAACTTCATCTTTGAAAGGAACCTTAAGGTTATTTGTGATACCCATTTTTCTTCTCACAACGAAACACTGGTAGGTAGTATGAGTCCAGTTTACCTTTAGTCCTTGCCACGGCAGGCTGGTTCTATTAAAATACATCAAAACATATCCTAATGATTCCATGTCATCCCGGCGACTGGAAAAGAAAATGAATTTATGAGCTAGAGTTATTATAGAATACATGTGAAACAAATCCAGGTACATATAAGACACATAGTTAATAAAAAAAAGTTCTTTTGGATTACTTCAACAAAGTTTTATCAAACAAGTCAAAATAAAAACCAACAGTCCTACAATTTGGCACTTATAAGCTTTGCAGAAGCTCATGACTTAAGTTTAGAGATAAAGAAATAAATTACATTTTAAAAAGAACCAAACATCTAAATATACACAGACATATGCATATGTTCACACAGACACACATATTTAACAAATGGTGATATGCTGGCCTGCTGGGAATGTGAAATTATAATTTAAGCCAGGTTTCCAAATATTCACAGGTATTTCCTAAGCTTCAAGTATTTCTCATGAGGTCCCCCAATTTGGAAGCATTTGTCATTACCATGCTTGTTTAAAGGAGCAAGAATTATTGACAAAAATGAAGGGAATATGAATTTGACTAGAAGCCATGTCAAGATACAAAAAGAGAACAAGCGGAGATGACCGATTTTGCTTCAAACTAGAATATAGAAGTGGAAAGTTAAACTGGCCTTTGGTTCACTTGGACTCAATATTTTCCTCATAAAACAACCAATACATTTTCTCCTAAAACTCAACTCATCCCATTAAACTATAACAAGCTCTAAATCAGCATAAATAAAAGAAGTGCTGTCTTTAAGCTGCAAAAACAAACATCAAGATGAAACTGCAATTGTGCTTCTAATTTTCCATCATGCAATATTTTCTCCCCAAGAGACATCCTTCAAAGCAAACAAATAGGCCTCATTTAATTGCCTTCTCTTTGTGCTGGCTAAAGTAGCAGGTAAAAGCATTAATAAGCATCCTTCAAGTCCTCAGCAAGGAGACACGTTTAGATATTATACAATACTGAAATATTTTTTTTTAAAACCCACTAATGGGTTTTCATATGTATCTGATAAACACAGTCAATTTCAAACTCACCTCTGCTCAATACCAAGATGTGCATTGATGCTAGCATACCGGGCAGTGCCAGTGAGATTTTTATCTTCTCTGTATGGTATGTGTTGCCTTGTCCTGTTGTCTCTGTACTTTTTGGCCAAACCAAAGTCAATAAGGAATAACTTTAAAAGAAAATAAAAAGACATTAGATTTCCAATCTTGCTCAATTAAAGCGCTTCTTATTAATTACATGGCATCTATTCTACAAAATCTGATCAAATATATAAAATAAAATGTCATAAGTAGAACAGATAGGAATAAATCTAACACACCAATAAACTTTTACTAGTCCTCCTCAATAAATGAAATTTCAAAAACAGTTACGTCAAGTGGTTGAATGTGTGTCAACAGAATGACTTCACAGGCCCGGGTCATTCATTGTATACTCAGGAGCCTATCTTTAGAAAACCAGTGGAAAGTTATATACGTGCTTGACAGCAGTTGACAAGTGTGCTAGGTTCCAAAACAGAACCTGACATCCTGTTTCTACTGGTAAATAGCATGAAGTTTCAAAAACTAAGACAAACTATCTGACATTCTTCATTCTACAAAGGCCACTCTGCAGTATGCCAGCTGAATGCTCATTACCCAAAATAAGAACTCTGAAAGTTTCATATTGACAAAACCAGTATTTTTACTAACCATTATACTACCTCATTCTAACATCGTATGCATGTCAAATTTCTGGAAAATAACAAGCTGATTTAAAATCTTTTAAAAAGCATTTAGTATTTATCTGAAAGTAGTTATAATAGTTAGTTCACATGGCTCACTTAAAAGCCAGGCTAGTACTTTGTAGTAAATTTATGTTTAATGCTATCTTGTTTATATGGTACACAGGGAATCAGACAGTGTAGCTAATTTTTAAAAAAAAGTAATTCAGATGTACTCTCCAAACTAAAACCTTTTTTAAAAGGAAAAATTATTTTTGACAAAACCCTAAAATAGTTATAACTGCCTGTTTTCTAAAGTAAAAGTATTTACTTAAAATGTTTACCTTCTGACATAAAATCATTTATGAAAAGTTATGTTAGCTACAAAGATGATCTAATCAAGCAGGTCTGACTGCCCATACACTATGTACCTAGACTACTTTTCTTTTCTCATTATGCCTAAAGACTGTCATCCTTTCCGTGGGGCTGACACTGAGTCTCTTCTGTCAGTTTATAATGCTGGGAAACTTGATCATCTAATAGTATGTCAGGCCTTTTGTTAATAAAAAAAAAAAAAAAAAAAAAAAAAAAAAAAAAAAAAGAAAGAAAGAAAGGCCTGATCAATGAACACTTTAGAAGGATGAAGAACACTATTTTGGTCAACTATGTAAGATACTTGTAATCTAACCTTAGTTATGGCATGGACGGAAAGGGACTGGGGTTGAGCGTCTTTTGTAACCATGTTAACTTGAGACACTTATTTTCAGTTGGCTTACCATAAAAGAATGAAGACAAAATTCTTAGAAAAATGTTAACTGGATGATGAAAGCTAGTAGCTTAAACTCATTTCCTAAGCAATCAAATTATAAGAATGAGAAAACTAATCATAAAACAAAGAGAAAATCAATGGTTTAATTTTCTGTGGGTATAAAATTTAGCTCAATACACAAAAAGATTAAAATGAGCAAAATACACTTCTGTTAAGTAAAATAAAAATTATAACTCAAGTTCTACAGATTCATAATGAAAGAAAACAAGGAAAAAACAAAAACAAAAGGACATCCAGCTACACAGAGATTTTTTAAAAAAGCTCGACAAGCTTATGTGAATTTGAAAGTAAAATGATTAAAGACTATCTAAGGGGTATTTCTGGGGTTGCTTCCTCTAGCACTTCAAAAAGAAAAAGGCCAACAACCCTGCCATGAAAAGGTTCCATAGCTTCTTTCCTGTCTAAATCTATACATAGTACCTTCAATTTCCGAATAAAAAACTAGATAGTGTCTCATAACTAAAACACTCAGTAGTGACTGCTTTCACAAAAGGACAAAAAAGTTACAAAAACATACAAACACCATCTTCTTAAATCTCAATCTTCAATGTCAAAACAAAAACTACTAAGCAATTTTAACTCTCTTCTTGTAGAAACTGGAAATAAGCCAAGGAAAGGTAATGCCACTGCTAAAATAAAGGTTTCCTATTTAGGAGTAAACTAAAAGGAAAACTACCTGAAACAAAAATTTCAATTATCTGTCAGTATCTTCTCAGAGCTATACCAGGTTTTTCTAGCAGCTCTCTCTGCTTTAAAGAATTTAAAAATGAATATAACATATAATCAAAGTGCTTACATGAAATTATGTGACATGAGGAATACAACGAACAGTAGCAAATATAAAGAAGCAAGTCAATGTTCATTAAGTCATAAAAGAATGTATTTTTGTAAGTGTTCACATGCAAAGAAGTCTAATCTCTTTGGTGAGTCACGCTGCTTTTCTGGAGATAATTATACAGTCTAAGTAAACCTTGTGCTTATCTTTAAAAATTAACCTATTCTTCAAAGGCAAGTCAAAAAGAGTTTTCTTTTTAATGTATAAGTGGAGTGCAGGTCAGAAGTGTTGGGGGTGGTGGTGAAGGATGTGATCGTGTATGTGTGTGTGTTTTCACAGGGATAGTGTGGGAAGCAGACAAGGCAGATTTTCTGAAATATACTACTAAGGAGAGCAGTGGTGAGACAGGAGAGGTCTGATATGTGGGTCAGCTCCCTGGCCAGGATCAAACTCAGGCCCGACTGGTGACAGCACTGAGACTTAACTCCTAGGCCGCCACCAGAGAGGCCCAAGTTAATATTTGATATACTGGAATAACACCATTCAGAAGCACAGAACTACTACTGTAAATTTAAGCTTTTAGTACTCGCTGCAAATTTTCTACTGACTAGTGATCCTATTCCTCTGTCCTTTCATAAAAATTCACAAGATCACATCTGCTCAAAATCCAGATAAATGGTATGTAGAGAATAAAACAATTCAATACAACTTAAACGAAAATTATTCCATGGTTATGCTATAATCTGTAAGTAAAATGTGTGAATGAATGGTAAGTAAAAATGGACACCAGAGTTGCTTTATAATGTACCTATTACCAATCATCTTCCCTCTCTCCTCAACCAAGATCTAGTCACCACAGTTCATATTTCACTGTCTGTCAATAAAAATATTTGAATTTCTGAAACCTTTTAACAGAAGCAGGACCCTGGAACAAAGCTGAGTAGTAGGGAAAAGGATTAAATGATTACCAAGATGGTATATGTGATTAAGGAATCACAAAGTATGCTTAAGTACAACTTTTTAAAATTACTTACAACAATACTTCCTTTTCAAGATATAATGAACAATAAAGACTCATTTGTTTAAAGTAAAAGTTTTTAAATGAAATTAGTTTCTCGTTTTCCCTTGTTTGAAAATTCATATACATACAGCAAGAAAGCTAACACCTATAAAAGTGAAAAGACTAACATTTAACAAAAATTTTAGTAAAGTATATTGAGGTGCTTAGCCTGCCAAACACTAAATCATCATTTAGGCATTCATTTGTATCATATCATGTGTTACAAAAGGTAATTGTTATGATAAGTGCTTCAATGATGTCACGCTGGTTTTTTGAAGATACGAGTCTTCGTATTCTGGATCATATAAAGCTTTTAAGCATCTTATGCCATTTGGTTGAGGATGAGAGATTTCGAGAATGAGGTAAATCAATTCTAGAAACTCTAGATTTGAAAACTAATCTACAGTTACCCAAATTTTATTAGGGAAGGGGATTAGAGGTAAAGCAGAATATATATATGTATATATATTCATTACACAGCACTGATGCTACTGAACTTAGATAAATATTGGGTATTAAGTTCTGCAACTCCAAATACATTTAAAAAAAACTAATCTATCTCAAGTTTACCATTAGATAAAGAATAATACTAGACCAACATTTCATTCCCTCATGTGGATGTTAGAGAGCCAAATATAATCCTGTTGTCATTTAAGTTTTCTCTAAACTTTACAAGCTTTGATCAAGGCCACAAAGAAACATCTCAGTAATGTTATGTTTGCCAAGTATGTCTGAATAATGCCAACGTAAGAGGTGCTTGAACAAGATCTACATTCTCCAGAATTAAAACAAAACAAAAATAATCAAAGTAAAACAATAAAAAAGAAAAGCACATGAATTTGGGATTGAGGTTGGAATAGGAGACAGTTTCAGACCTGGTTTAATCCTGAGAAAGATGGGTCCTGAGAAGTACTAACAGTCATGCTTCTTTTCCTCTTCCCCACTGGAGATTCTAAACACTAAACAGACAATAGAGGGTGGCAGTGCATCAAACAGTATTGCTTACATTGCAACAATGGCCGGCGCAGACAGGCAACACCGAGGCATTAGAGAAAGAACAGGGTAGCCAAATGCCATCCTTCTTCCACCAAGCACTGTAGCTTCTCAGTTTTCCAAATGAGAATCACATGCTCAAGAACATTTGAATTCTGGAAAATACTCAGGTTTTTAAATGCCACTATTATCGTGTCACTGCCTGAAACAAGGATATAGCAATGGTGACATTTGGCTTTTTAATTTTTAGCAAAAATGGGGAATTTAGATCTGTTGTCTTTAGTACCACAATCTGCCCTTCCCCCAAAAAAGATTGTAGAGGGGAAAAAATCTTCAGTAAGGAAGAGGTAGAAGGCATTTAGTCACCTTAAAATTTATTTTCATAAGCATGCAGGGCTGATTACTGGAAGAGATGAGCAAATTCACTAAGATTGGAGTGGCCACTCTTAATATCAAGTTCAGAACAATTTCCCAAGTAAGAAATTTTTCTTTAAAAAAATTAACTTCAATCACCCCTCCTCCCCCAAACCTTCCTCCCATGAACAGAAAACTGCTGGAACCAGCTGACCAAAGAATCCAGTCTCATACAACTGGCATTTGTCAAATTATAATAGAGAAAAACACTAAAAACCGACTACATGAACGAAACACTAAAATGCTCAAGAACCACATTTAGAATTTGAATGTTAGTTTAGTAAAACACTGTTTCTACCCTAGTTTCTGAATCTGCACAACAGCAAGCAGCTCCTCAATATTCTATCAGCTCTATAGGACACAAGATTTAGGTCTTGATCCCTAGGGCAATATGGGTTTCCTGACACAACTACAAGATAGTTTTAAAGGGGGTGGGGGGGGGGAAGGAGAAGACATTATTTAGGCCATCATTGAATTTTAAGGCAAAAATTATGTACTGAAATGTCAATTATGCAAATTAGAGATCACATGAGGATGATGGATTTCAGGGGAAAGAAAATGGGAAGGAGAAGGCTGGGAAATGGCCAAAAGATTTGAATTAAACAGAAAGAATTGCCCCCAAAATTAAGAACAGTGATTTTATTCAATGAAGTGACCAGGCTTTTCAAAGAATTAAGAGCCTGGTTGCTTTAGAGAGACACTATTATTAAAAAAAAGAAAAAAAAGAAAAAAAAAGCAACTAGGGGATGGTGAGATAAGTTACATGCAGATTTGAACACCTTTCATTAAAACTCAACTTCAACAAAAAAATTCTTAATTTCCTAACACCTAAATAGATCAACATTAATGTCTAATTCATTAACAAATACACCAGTAATGGCTCTGAGTTGGCATTCACACAGGCAAACAAAGGTAAACATTTAGAGCTAAACCTAAAAACCACCAAACAATCCCTAATGGTTTAGTAAAACAAATGGGAATCTTCCTTCCAAAAACAAAACAAAACAAAACAAAACAACAAAACAAAACAAAAAGCCCCAGTTGTCCTGAAGTTGAGAATTTCTATGTTATCATCAGATCATAATATGCTTAGTGCATTGCCAATGCTGCCTGTCTGCCCGAGCTCAACATTGAATTGATAAATAAAGCAAGTCACTCATTAAACTAATCATTGCAGGAAAAATTAACACAATTAGTTTCTAACTACAATCATGCGTCACTAGCTAAACCCAATCACCCCGTAAGTCCAACCACTCTGAGACCCCAATAAAACACCAATTTTGTTGTATGAATGTATTACTTGTATTTTTCTTCAAAAGGGGAAATAGAGGTGGGAGAACCCATCCAACTTAGCACCCAAGTAAGAAACTGTCAACAGCTTTTGCAACAGGTCTAGAAGTTATCCTTTTGAGTACACAAATCCAAGGACTGAGATTTCTCATTATCAACCATGCTCAATCAGCAATGTTAACGCCATGGTGACAGATGGGTCAGTGATTCCCACACTGGCACAAGCACATGTATTACAAAAACCCACACTTCAGAGACAAAAGTTAAAATATAATTTTAGCATTCAGGAAGAAAGTATATGGGGTTTTTTCACTATTCAAATAAATGAAAAATAAGAGAAACTACTGAATATAGTTAAATAATGTAGATGATTACATTTCATTATAACGCCCTTGGAAATTTTTTTATTTCCATACAAATAACCTTTTTTTGGGTAAGTTGGAGAGAATTTATTTCAAGTTACTAAGTTAATAGAGTTAAGTGATTATCCTTCTAGCACAACTTTTTAAGGCAATTATCAACAGAAAATTCAATTTACTATGACTTCGTAAAGACTAAAAATTCACCAAAGCAATTCTTGGAGATACTTTACTGTTCTTCATGCAAAGAACATTTGACTAACCTTATTACAGTGACGCCCAATACCCATTAGGAAGTTATCTGGTTTAATGTCTCTGTGTATAAAATTCTTTGTATGCACATATTCAATTCTACTGATCATCTGAAAAAAAAAAAAGGGGGGGGGAAGATAGCTGAGTTAAGTGATTAAAACAACACATTGTTTTAATATCTCAATATCTTCTCAAAACCATAGGTATATTTTAATAATTTTAGCATTAACAACAACAGTGTGACAAATTTAAACAAAACGGGCAAACTAGGTTCTCCATTAATCTCTGGACTGGTAAAATAAACATAAACCAGCATAAAACTATACTGTTCTTTGGCTTACTCTCCCAGTATTGATGACAGCATCTAACCTGATGGGGAGATGTTTGTATCTGTACTGTAAAGATAATAGTCTTAGAATTGTTCTTGTCATTATACTGAATTATGGGAAGTAAAAGTTAAATCATCACTTTCCATCCCTAATCTGACACCCCGTGGAAACCTGCTTAAAACAACTCTAATATTACTCTAAAGTATTTCATTGCTCTTATAAACACTTAAACTTAAAAACAGAATCTTGTGAATAAGGGGAACAGACTAATTGTCAGCTATTAATAGCCACCAGATGTTGTAATTATATTGTGAGAAACATTTTATTCACTTTATTCTTCCTTGTTTTTAAACAAATTTTCCAAGCATTTCTGGAAACTGGTAGCATACAAGATTTATATAAATGGAGACAATGGCTTTCCTTTCTTGTATTCTAAGAAGTTTTTCTTAATGAACTTCTTAGAAATTATGTCAGGTCAAATGTTCTTTTTAATGGCTACAAATATTCTGTTCTTTTAAATGGCTACAAATATTCTATGTATAGTTATGTTTCTCCAAATCACTCCCTAGTCACATATTCTTTCCAATATTTTCCCACTATGAACAATAATGATGTGTTAATATAGTTAAAAATACAACTTTACTTATTGGTGCTTTTATTACAGTTGAGAAAATACTAGGCTGAAGGGTATATAAATATTTCATTTTGATAGCTATCTTGTCAGACTGCCTGATCTTTCAAAATAGTGCTCTAACAATTTTTTTCAGTAGTAGCATTTGACGGTAATTTTCCCCCACTAGCAGTTATTTTGGGTCCTTCTAATTTTTGCCACCGATAGGAACTGATCTCCCTCGGCTTTTATAAACACTTAATCTGGAAATCTGTTCATTTTTACTGACCATTTGGATTTTTTATCCTATGACCTGTCAATCTATTCTCCGTCAATTATCCTTTGGCTTGTCCTTTTCAGTGTTAAAGAATTCTTTGACTACAACAATCTTTTATGTGTCATATAAAGAGATTTAATTTTTTGGGATATCTTATTGATTTGACTATGGCATCGCTTCTATCTAAGTTTCTAGTTACCAAATATGCCTATCATTTCTGTGAGATATTTAGAATTTGTATTTTTACATATTTTAAGATTGCTAATGTATCTTCCTACCTGTATGTTCTTCCTTTTCTAATAATATATGTCAGGATTCTAGTTTTTATTTGTTCCCATTTCCCCCAGAGCTTTCATTCCCATGGATATAAAATTCTAAATCTTACTCCTTTACTTGACAACTATCCTTTGAAACCAACCCTTTAATTTCTGACTTAAACAACTTACACATTTAATGATAAAGATATATTCAAATATTGTCTTTAGGTACAGCAATAACTTGTACATTAAAGTCAGTAAAAACATCTAGCTCACTTCATATACGCATTTGTCCTAGCCAAATAATACCTATCATTCAACTGGGACTAATAACTTACTGGGCAAGACTGGGCAAGATGACTAAGGGTGTAAATCACAAAAACCATGTCAGGTTGCCTCCTTGAACAAATGCTTTCAGCAACCTCCCCCCATCTATATTGTCTTGTTACTAGTATACCCAACATAAACTTCTATCACAGAATCCTGAACATTATGTTTCCCCACCTTTTACTGCTCCCAAAGGGAAGAAACCAGTTATTCTTTGCATCTGAATGCTAGTAGGATGCCCATTATGTTGCTGAGTCTCCAGAACATTATTAACTCTTGTTTGAAACATTCAGTGTTTTTTATGTTAAACTTAGGAAGCAGGTACTGACTAGCATTTCTGTTTAGCATTTTATTTTACTTTATTATGACATCCAATCTATAGCCAAGACATATTGTCCTCTTCCACTGCATTCTTATAAATGGAATAAAGAATTTCCATTATTTCCCTGTACTTAAAGATATCTTGCCCAAAGCTTTAAAAATGACCAGTTCTTATCTATTATCTTTTATTATGTTTCCTCAAGGACTTGCTCATGGCCTCATCTCTTCCATCTTAATTGTGTTGGGTCCCAGCCGGGATGAGCCTCCCCAACCACCCCCAGAGCTTAAGCACAAGATCATAATAGGAAGAAGACATCTTGCCACTTGTGTGAGTGGCTTAACCTTCAGGCAACTGATTAATATCCACCCCGATTGCAGTAGCGCATGTGAGGGAGATTTCCTCCTGCCCCCAGGCCAACATCCTGGGATTAAGGATATAAAAGGGAGGCTGGAAAGGATAAGAGAGAGAACATTTTGCTGCAACCATCTACCTGTGCTGACTCTTCAACCTCGACATCCCGCCACGCAGACTCGTATCCCTGCCGTGTGGGGCGTGGCAAATTGTCTTAAAACTAACTTTGCTGGGCCTTCCTGGTTGTGTAAGGGGTTAAGTCTCAGCACCACGAAGCTATTGGCAACTACTGTATCAATGGCCTTGGAGCTGACCCCTATGGTGCAGCAATCCTGCCTGATGCTCCCTTCAACAGTGTATTTCAGTCAATCTGCCTATTCTGTCGCTGGTGGATCCTCTTTTGCCTCCCTAACCCCTCCACCTATACTCAAGCTCTTGTATGCATAAGTAAATATCTTTTTTTTAACCCTAACTCGGTTGTTTTCTTAAGCTCTGGTTTTAAAATAATTTGATCTAATCTCTAGTCAATGCATAAATCTAATTCACATCTTCAAGGTTCCCACAAATTGAGAATCCATTACTTAAAAAAAAAAAAAGTACTTGCTCACAACTCCTTGAATTATTTTAGTGTCTTATTTCCCCCAAAAGATAGCTTTTACAAGGGACCCACATAACACACTCCTTAATTAACCAAACAGTCACAATATACATAGATGTGTTTAATCTCTAAATCATATACTGAATGCTCTCTTCAAGCACAAATCTTGTAAGGAAGTCTTTTATATTCAGTGCTAAAACTATTTCCATCTGATGCAGTAGCTTTAAATCTACTATTCTAGAGACTGGAAATAAATCAATATACTCTGGGCTTGCCCAATACTCAAAGACAAACATTTACAAGTCATATTAGAGAATACACTATTCAATCATTTTTTAAATTGATGCACATCATACAAGATAATTACTGGTTTATAGGCATTCAAAATTATGTTTAAAGAACATGGTACTTTCATAAACATTTTACATACCTGGTCAGCTAACATAAGTACAGTTTTCATTGTGAACCTTCTTGAACAGAAATTGAAGAGGTCTTCGAGGCTGGGTCCAAGAAGATCCATGACTAGCACATTGTAGTCTTTTTCCTGACCATACCACCTATTAAAACAGAAAGGGAGAAAGGTGGACATTATGAAAAGTATGTTTCACTTAATATATTTTTTTAAAGATTCATTTATTTTTGTGCATACAGAACTGGGGTACAGGCCAGAGGCTCAGGGGCAGCGAGGTTTCACCAGAAACAGAGTGGGGAGCAGAACAGGCAGATGGACGGAAGTACACTGCTGAGGGGAGCAGCGGGCGGGTCAGGAGAGGTCTGCCACACCATGTGGTCACCTCCGGGGCAGGAGGGGATCGAACTCATGTGGAAGTGGCTTTAGCTTCCCAGTGCTGTGCTTTAACCCGCTGCGCCACAAGGGAGGGCCGTCACTTAATATTTTTAATATTACTACATTAAAAACGTGCTTGAACCCTAAAAAAGGAATTTTTCTCGACTAGTTGCATTTTCCCCTATTCAAATAATGAGCCTATTGACAAACTACATTGCCCAAAACAAAGTAAAGATGAGCTCCTCTCCCTATCCACCTGCCAAGTGTCTTCACTTGCCAAGTGTCTTAAAATGGGTATGGCAGGCTAATAACACTCCTCTGACCTAAGAAGCTAAATTTTATACCAGCCTATCACTGATTCTTGTAACTCTGAGCAAATTCCTTAACCTCACTACCTAATTTAATAAAGAAAGGCAACTAACTTTATCAGTCATCCCAGAATGTTGCAGAAAGCGAAGATCACTATTTTAACTCCTGTCTCACTTCATGCCACAATTCTACTTATTCAATCAGTAATTACATGTCCTTAAAAAAAAAAAAAAAGATACAGAACTGGGGTACAAGCCAGAGTTGCAGGGGCAGTGAGAGGATTCACTAGAGACAGAGTAGGAAGCAAAACAGGCAGATCCATGAAGTACACTTCCGAAGGGAGCAATAGGCGAGACAGGAGAGATCTGCTGCATCCTGTGGGTCACCTCCAGGGACAGGGATCGAAATCCCACTGAAGCAGCTGCGGCCAGCTTCTTGGTGCTGGGCTTTAACCAGTTGCACCACCAGGGAGCACATTTTTTGCTTAGTTTCAGATTACAACCGGTAATCCAACTAAGAAAAATGTTTTAATTTTACTATTCTAACTAACTGAGAATAAATACATAATTTTCTTCTCAGTAACTCAAGGAGGATCTACTAGGGTTGGGAATCAGTGCAATAAATGATTCCAAGGTCTGATTCTGCTAAACACTACCATTTTTACTGCAAAATTTTCTAGATTACATATTTCTTGGAAATAAAATGGGTCAACGTTTAAAATGTCGAAAAACCAAAATAAAATAAAAGGCCAAGTTACTTTGAAGGTAGACTGCAGTAATTTCCTTGCCAACTCCAATAAAAATAAATTTCTGTAATTTTTGACTACTCAGAAGAGAGAAAAAGATTTAATCTCCCTCCCAAATTAGTGTCAGAAACATTAACAAATATCAGTCTGGTAGAAAACTGGTGTTTTTAGTCCTATTAAAAAAATTTATTCTGATATGATATTCTGTTGCTATGTGAATGACAACAAAATTAAGCTAAAAAAAAAAAAAGAGCATGGGACTTAATGTTAAAAATTATGCATTCCCAGAAAACACAAAAGTTACCTAAGCACCAGTGTACTGGTCTGGTGTTACTAAAAAAGTGGTCCTGGACAACCACTATCATTACCTTTGGATGGCATCACCTGCAGGAATTTCAGGCATGATGCCAGAAAGGGGAACAAAGTTTCTAAGCAGTTACCTTTATATCCAGACCTATTTGTATAGTTTTCATATTCAGATGGCATGAATACGCTCCCAGAGTCTTTTGTTGAGGGTAAAGACTTAAGAGTACTGGACTTTGGAAAAAGTTCAAGTTCCTTTGAAACTTTTACCTCTCAACTGCTCTTTCGAACCACTTCACATTGTGGAAAACTAACATCAAACTCAAAGAAAAGCATCCACTTTCACATCCTCTTTACAGAAGAGGCCTGCTGGGGGAAGTCTGTGCTACCTACAGAGATCTTGCCCACAGCCTAAAGGAAAGAACAGACACATCAATGTCAATGTGGCAGAGGCAGAGCTGGTCTGTCCTCCTGATGTCTGAAACTGTGTATGAAGTTGCTGACATCTCTCTCATCCTTTATTTTCCACAGGGGAACTAGACAACATCATATTCATTCAAATATTTACTTGAAAGCTCACAGAGGTAGTGGAAAGAGGTGGATAAAACATAAATAATACTAGAACGTAAATAATGAACAAAGTTGTACTTTCCCTTTCCCTGTTTTTGTTTTTTACCCCCCCCCCCATTCCCTTTTTCCTTCAAAACATCAGAGGTAAATGTGCTGTCAGGAACTTCAAAACCAGTTCTTACTAACACAAATGTCTAATACAAATAATCATAGCAGATTTTAAATATAAATCTGACTTATCTAGGTTAAAGAAAAAGTGATGCCCTATACGAACAGAAAGAGCTAAAAGCAACAAAGAGACAAAAAAGGAAAGAGACAAAAAGGAAAGCAATAAACCAACTCAAGACCATCTCTCATCTATACATCAGACAGGCACTGAAAGCTCACTAACAAAATGACAATAAACACCCATTCATCTAAGTCAAATCAAACCTGAAATACAAATGGCACAAACTCCTAATTCTCATCTTCAAGAAACTGCATATTTTCATAAAGCAAATTTTGAGAAATCACCTGAAAAATCAAGTTGTTGGGTATTTGTCTCCCTACTTAAATGTATGATCATTAGACATAGCCACCATTCTTAAGGCAGAAAAAATAAAAATACACCTAATACAAAAGTACTTTTCTCAGTGGCTCAACGATGCATTTAAAAAATTAACACTTTCTAGTATATATGACTCCTTTAGCCTAAGTGACGGTATGTCTGTTATCCTTGCTTTTTTGGTCTGAAGGAAAATACAATTTATTCCTCTGAAGTTAACACTTCACAACCTTTCATCTGTACTTTCCACCTGAACTAACTCATCTAGACATTTCACCAGATTAGGAACCAGGCAGGCACAGTCTTCTGCTGATCCAAATGCTACTTTATGAAGTTTCTACTTTCACCTCCATGTTCCCCATGTCTATTCTAAACGTTTTTCTCTATTTTAACTCTCTTAATACCCAGATGTCAAAGAACTCCTTTTCTAGGTAGCCCACCCTGTGCTCGTTTCCCATTTCAGACTTCCCTCAGCTACAGATTACCATTTGTACCCACAATCCAGCTCCCCGACAATACATGTACTGTTACTTTGGTGTTCTTATCCCCATACTCTCAGGACAGAGCTTAATGGTTTTTGTGTTTAATAGTTTGTAGAACCTGGGTAATGAACAAGCACTAAACTGAAGTGTTTGCAGACAATCTGAAATATACAAACATGAAAACCTCACTCCTAGCTCTCCACTTTCTAGGCATGTTCAGACTGGTCTTATCTTTAGACTTTTTATACTAAGTATGAAGTGTTGCTACTAAGCACACTGATAAAATGATGTGCACAAAGAAGGTCCTCAGGTACATTTGAGACTAAAAAAAGAAATCCAAGTTGATGCGAGCCTTATTCTGCCTCAGTTTCAACATGCCTAAGAAATCAATTTAATGGATGCAAGTGGGGGAAAAAGCGTGCAGGGGCCTCGTTTCCTGTTTGGTTCTAATCAGTACCTTTAGACTTGTTGAGTACTACCGGAATAGTCAAAGCTGAAGAACGATTTGAACTTTATAAAGTCATGGCTTACATAACAGCATAAAAGAGGTATTTTCAGGTCTGAAGAAGATGCCAAGAGATCTATCACTCTCATCTTTTTTCTATCCAAACTAAAAAACAAATCCAAAATAAATCTAGTCAAAAAACTGAAACATACATAAAAAGCACAAATACAAGATGACATTCATATGCCATTGGGGCTGATTAAAAAAATGCAAAAGGATCAAGGAAACTAAATCTGCAAAAAAGGCTTGTAAAAATGGTGCTACAAGTAAGACTCTGGAGGCATAATATTTTAATAGTGAAAACATAAAAGGATGTCCTGGGCAGGGACAAGAACAAATTATTTTGGACCATAAGTCCTACAAAGTGGCTCACAGTTCAGGCTGTATTAAAGAGCTTTGAATTCTATAAATAACTGAAGGAACTATCAGCAGAACGTGGCTGGAACATAATATAATTAAACCAATACTTTAGAATTAGCCTTGACATCTGTATGCAGTAAGGAAATGGGGTAAGAGTAGAGAAAGAGTAACAACATAGGAACTAACTAGAGAAGTGTGGTATTGTAGCTGAAGATTCAAGTTAGGGGTTTTCTTTCTCTGAGAAGTCATTTATGAAAATGGAATTTCTGAGGAAAAATAAAATGGCTGAAATGAAGTGTTTTACATACTGTTAGGAGACCTAGTGACTTCCAACTGAAGTGTAAGTATGCAGTTCAGATTCAAGTGCCTAAATATGTTCCATCCCTATGACACTATCAGCAAAAACATGCATTTAATGTCCATTTTCTGTTCAGACCATCAGTTTGATGGTTAATTTTCAGTCAATCTAACTGGGTTGGAGATACAGGCATGGACCATAAAACCTCAATCTGGGCCTGTCTGTGAAGGAGTCTCAGGAAATTAGCAAGCTAATGATAGATCACATAAAAAGGGTCATCCTCCCCAAGTGGAGGGCCTAAGAGAACAAAAAGGTGGAAGAAGGGGAACTTCATTCTCTGCTACAGCTGAGGATTCAGTTCTCCTGCTTAGCAGCCTTTACACTTGGAGTAGAATTGCATCACTGATTTTTCTGAGTTTTTGGCTCAAAGACTGTAAATTGTAACTTCTCAGCTTCCATAATTATGTGAGCTCTGTGTGTGTATTCACTGATGATGAGACTCCTAACTAACACAACCGAGGCAGTCATTTTATTTGTCCATTTAAAAACTATATACACTCATAGCACACACAGGAAAATTCAATAAGGTCTGCTAATTATCCAAGAATGAAAAGTCATATTAGAGGCTGTAATAGGCTAGGAGGTGCTTGATTT